GGAAGACTTACTTGAATTTGCCTAGGGTCACCCCCTTAAAACTTGGTACACCCCACACCCGATTTGCTAACCCATGGCACACTCTAATCCTATTGGCCTTGCTGAATTTTCCGAGTCGGGAAGCTTCCTTGAGCAATACCTTTCAAATCTAGGGTTTTCAGAGCATAAACAAGATTAGGGTTTATAGACATTTTAGACCTCTCTAGGGCATGCCTTGAAAGGCACCTCCCTTGGTCTTACTGTGGGCTAGGTGTGGCTCTCTTTATTATCTTCAAGTAACGTGCTACCCCTAGGAGCCTAGAGTGGTGTGCGTGATCCTTTGGTGACTAGAGAGGAGAGAGAAAAAGAGAGTGGAGTGTGGAGGAGAGAGAAGGAAGAGAGAGTGAGAGAGAGGCTAGAACTTGGTAATGAGAATGTGAGGGGTCCCCTCCTTATATGGGCATCAAGGGCTCCAGGTATGCCTATCCAATAGTAATGACTGATTTTAGGAAATCTGTGAGGTGAGCGAGAATTATACATGAGTCATCCATCTCATGAATAAGCCATCACAATTTAGGAAGGAATATAGGAACCTTAACCCTTGAATATTTAACCCATATCAACTTCTAGTCAAACAAGGATAAGACTAATCAAAACCTAATCTTCTAGAACTCCCATACTTCTCACAAGATTGTAGGAATTCAAAAGATAAAAGATTGTCAAATAAATAAATATTTTTCTTCCATAAAATAAGGACATAATCTTTTCCAAAGAGTATATTAGATATCCCAATTTAATAAAACACTTTCTTGTTTAAGAAAAAAGAAAAAGAAAAAAAAGAGAGAATGGGGGGAGGGGGCTGAGGTGTGGGTCCCCATGGGACCTATGCCCCACACATGTGAGGGTGGTGTATGTGTGACCTAGATCCAAAGGCCCACACATGTCCTACCTGGCCCCTCCATAATCCAAAAATTTTTAAAACGTCCTTTTAAGATATTTTACTATTGAAAATAATTTTACAAATTCTTAAACAAAAATTTACAATCCACAAAAACATCTCTTACATTGAAAACAAGATATCTAGAAATAGACTGCTACCAATGGGTCAAGATAAGTTATTGTCATGGCACTCTAACCAGCCTAGTAATTGTGAACCTCGACTATCTTCTCAAACCAATGCAACAAGACCTATGAACCACAGTCTCATGCAGGCGCTCATGATTGGCTCGTCAAAGCAGACCAATAATAATGGAACCACGTTCTCAGAATGTAGATTACAAGCTCTCCCCTTACGAGCATGACACATGCACATATCACTATAATACAAAGGGGACTCTCTATGCACATGTATACATATCCCTTTTCATGGTTGCTTCCCGGTATTGCAGCTATCATATGAACATGTCGTGCGGATGTTTGTTAAGGATTTAGCCCTCGCTCTCACATGCCTACTTCTGCACACAGGAGACCACGAACCTCTCCTGGTCTAAAAAACACGACTATCTTCTCAAACCAATGCAATAAGACCTATGAACCACAGTCTTATGCAGGGGCTCATGATTGGCTCGTCAAAGCAGACCAATAAATAATAGAACCACGTTTCCAGAATGTAAATTACAAGCTCTCCCCTTAAGAGCATGACACATGCACATATCACTATAATACAAGGGGACTCTCTATGCACATGCATACATATCCCTATTCATGGTTGCTTCCCGGTATTGCAGCTATCATATGAACATGTCGTGCGGATGTTTGTTAAAGATTTAGCCCTCGCTCTCACATGCCTACTTCTGCACACAGGAGACCACGAACCTCTCCTGGCCTACAAACCATCTATGGGCATCTCTCTGACCTCAATAAGGGATGACCTTCTCAAAACCCTCTTCAGCTATATGCCCAAGGGGTAAGGATTTTTGGACATGATCACGGCTAGAAACCACCTAACCCTAGGTCAGTCAACCAACGCGCACACTCCCATTGAAGTGCAGAATTCACTATAATTCTATTTACATGATCTCACGGCCTTTAAAGGCCACAAACCCCATCAAATCTCAGAATACCAGCCTCTACACTCCAGTTCACATCCCAAATTCTCCTTCGGAAAATGTCAACATAGACTTCGTATTAGGTTTGCCTAAAACTGCTAGGGGGTATTGTTTACTATTTGTAGTAGTCGACTGTTTTTTGAAAATGGATTATTCCATTCTCTATCAAAAGGCCTTTTATACATCTCATGTCATAGGTCTTTTCATTAAAGTTGTTCGTCTTCATGATGTACCTAAGTCAATCGCCTCTAATAGAAATACTAGACTCTTGCGTCCTGAGTCCTTTTTGGGGGGGACATTGTAGTCAAAACTAGGTACCACTCTATAACTTAGCAATGCATATCATCCTCAAAATGATGGACAGACTAAAGCAGTCAACTGTAGCATGGGAAATATATTGAGGTGTCTTGTAGGTGAGAGGCCGAGTTAGTGGGATATGGGTCTTCCCAAGCAGAATTTGCTCATAATGGCTCGGTTAACCAATCTACTAGAAAGTCTCCCTTCAAGATAGTGTATGGTCATGCCAATTCACACATTCTGGACTGTGTTCCATTTCGAGACTGTGTTCCATTACCTTATGGGGGAGAAGTGTCGAAGCCAATTACTATGCCCAACACATAAATGAAGTATGGAAGGAAGTCCTCTACAAGTTTAGAGCCAACAATGCGAAGTATATAGAGATTGCAGATGAGCATCGACATGACAGATGATTCTCTTAGGGAAAATTATCATGGTACATCCGAGGAGAGAGAGGTTTCCAATTGATACCTACATCAAGTCACATCAGCAAAGGTTGGGGCAGCAAAGGATTGTCAAGAAGTTAGGCGATAATGCTTATCTCCTAGACCTTTATGAGAACCTTAACATCTCCCTAATCTCCAATATTGCTTATCTCTACGAGTGTAGAGGTGATCAATACACTTGGATGTTGGTACACTACAGACTGCAAAGCTACCAAGAGACATTGTCGACGAGATAGAGATGTGGTTAATGTTTGTCGATAAAAATCGTGGCTCATACAGGGGATACTTGGTTCATTGAAAGGGTCACCCATTGGTTGATTGTTCGTGTATTGATGAGCATGAGTTACAAAGGAGGCGGGTGGATCTCTATCAACTTTACGTTAAGGCATACTTGACCAGGTCGATTTCCTCCCAACCCAAGAAGAATTGATGAGGAAATCATGCATTAGGGCTTTAGTTCTTTTTATTTTTGAAGAGTGCAAACTACTGTTATTAACCTTTTAATTTATTTTAGTTACCTAAGGGTACTTATGGCTTTTGAAATTGTAGAGAATTCAGGGGTAGTTTAGTCTTTTATTATTTTATTTTAGCTAAGATTAATTATATCATTTCGTTTAAAGTTAACTTGTATAAAAGGGGAGTAAGGGATGCCCAGCCAATTTGGGTGATTGATTTTGAGAACTTTGTGAAGAAAAGAAAAACCATTAGAGAAGTGCGTCTTGAATTCTTTGATTGAAGTCACAGAGAATGCTTGGTAGCACCTCCCAAGGTCCCTCCCTTCCAAGGTAATCTTTAACTTCTTCTCTTCTTTCCCCTCCACTCTCTTCATCTCCTTTCTTCCCTCTCTCTAAATTCTTTCATCATCTCCTTTCTTTTATTTCTTTTCTTCCTTCCTTGAATTCTTCAGTATTCTTCCTCCTTTCTTAATTTCTCTCTCCCTTATTTTTCCTATTTTCTTCTTTCTTTAACTTTCTTGCTCTAACCATCCAAGCCAGCAAACACTCCCTATTAAAAAAATTCAATAAAACCTTAAAATAACCCATAGGTCCTTCCTGGAATTAACCTCATATAATATCCCTTGAAACCCTAACCCTATTTTAGCATCTACTTTTCACACCCTTAATTTCAAAATCCTAGAATTAGTTGTGGAGACCCTCCGGAATTAATTAACATTTGTTCCAGCCCCCTCTTCTTCTTTTTAGGCTGTAATTTAACTTCAAATTTGATCGGGATCAATTTTTAATTAGCTGATTTTGTTTTAAGACAGATTTCAATCCATCATGGATTTAAAATTTCATTTCCCATGTTGATTTACACAAGTATATTGAGTTTTGTAGATGATTACATGCTAAAATTGTAGATATATGATCTTATTTCAATTTAAATTGTTCTCTAGAAGTGCTTTAAGGTCTTGTAATTAAAGATTACAGAATGGTTGATCATAGGCTACATCACATTGTGTATTTCCCCGCAACTACCCTCCCACTCCCTTGAGATACCCCTCCTGGCCAATCCATTAACTCAATAGTCCACAAACCTTACAAAATATTCAGCTGGACCTTCTGCTGCATCTCCATAGGCCCCTTCGAAAATTGCCCCAATTCCCAAATCAAACAAAATTATACCCAGTGTCCTACATATGAACCTGCCATTGTCATCATCCGACATCCTCTTTAAACTAGAGACACTACCCTCACAACCTTCTTTACCATGATTTCTACAATCTACCCTCCAAACTCTCTATACTATACTTAGGTTCCCTTGCCACTGAATCACTCAACTGCCCCTTAAGTGTATAAGAAAGCTTCTATTTTCAACATTGACCCAATAAACCCTTCAAATAAAAAAACAATCACATAAGAACCCCTCATGAACACCACTTATATCCACATATTCTCCTTACTCATAGCCACAAACAGCCTGAAAGTGCCATCCTTCCCCCAAACGACTATTCTCAATGCCCTTAAGCCTAAATCAACATCCTATGTACATCACAGTATACTAATATCATTCTGCCCCTGTCACTGTTGGACACGTCCCTGTCCACCAGTGGAATTTCAATGTAATATTCGCCCTCAAGGTGTTGGAGACAATGTCCAAAATATTCATGTGCCTAACGCACCTCCGTAATCTGATATTAAACCAATAAAACATATCAAAAACAAATGTTTTAGTGTTTTATTATAGTCCCATAATCATTATGAGAGGCATAGAACAGAACGTATCTTACCTTCAAAGCTTCTCTACATATGTAGGCTATATGATGCTCCTCAAAAGTCTCCTCAGTAGTACCCATTAGATCAGCAACACTTCCACCCCCACAATACTCCATTACTATCTGCATTAACAAGTAAAGATTCCCACATGTGACCATGGTGACAAAGTTTCATATCAAGCACTTTCATCAAATAGCAACACTTTATTGACTCTAAAACATCTAAAAATACAAATACTAACTTTCAGAAACGAAAATATGATCATAGTAACCTGATACATGCTTGCATTAAACTATTAAACAACTTAAACCTCCATTGACTACAGGATAATATCCACTTTATAATGTAACTAAAGCTAAAGGTAATGATGCATAATTGGATCAATTAAGAATATATGGAATGCCAAAACATATTCTCAAAACTGATATATAGCAAATTTTGACTACTGCAGAAAAATCGCATAGAAAGGAAGTTTTAAGAAGGGTGTCCATGCATTTCACCTTAAAAAAGAAAAGGTTTAATATAAAGGCTCCAATGCATCAAAATTAGATTTAAATTTACCCAACAAGACACAAAACGAGTAATTAAGTAAAGTAGACAATAGCTCTATGATACGCAGTACGTGTCATATTCCCAATATGAGCATGCAATTGGACACATCTAGAACCGAAAGCAAGAAGCATAATTTTCTCCTTATGGTTTGAAAGTCAAGGTGTGGCCATACCAGCACTAAGACGCTGATTCCATAAGAATTCTGAAGTTAAGAAACCTCAGGCAAGATTATTAATAGGATGGGAAATGGCACCCCATTCCAACCCAAGTTTTGCAACCTCTCCACAGGATCTGCGACTGACCTTTTTGCTCTTTCTTACACCCCTTCCAATAGATAAGAAAAGATCAAATGGTGAAGGCACCCGGTTTGCATGAGGGAGGTCAAAGGAACCTTCAAGTTTGTCCCAAAAACAAAGCAAGCTAACCAACTATTCTGGCTTACCAAAAAAAGGAAACACAGCTAGATAGTTGAGGTTGCCAAGAATCCAAAACTGTTTCTTTGCAATGATTTAAAAATACCAAACTCTATTTAAACACGTGTCTCATGCCGCAAGTCAGAGTGAATGGCGATTGTACTTCAGAAGCATCGGGAAGTGTTCTAAACCACAGTTCCAAAACTCAGGAAGACTCAGCTCAGCCTACATATTAGTTCACCGGACTCAGCAACAATGACTCGGCATGTGTGTCTAGAGGGGGAGGGCTATGTGTGTAGGTATGTATGTGTGCCTAATGTTTGTGTGTATCTGTGTATGTGAGAGAGAGAGAGAGATTAATTTTGGCAAGAGAAACATCCAATCTGAGTGAGAAAGATACTGAATTTGGGAAGATAATTCCAGAGATGATGTTTCCTAATAATCAAGATGCCCACAAATAGGATGTGAAAAATAAGGGGGTAACCATGTAAAGGATTGCCATAATTTATGCACCTTATTAGTAAGCATTCTATTTACCTTTAAAAGGTCAAAATAACTTTGACCAAAAAAAATAGTAGAGTTTAAAACAAGGTGAATGAGTGCGTCCTCCAGGTGATGCAGCGGGTTCGGTCAATCAGGGGGATTTCTGAGTTGTGGCAAATCTTTAAACCATGTTCTAGACATGTTTGCAATCAAGTGTGTGAGACCTTATGCGGTTCTTAGCGTTGGGCATGGAAGAACAATATGAAATCAGACAGCGTGAGTCTAGTGGATATGCACTCTGACAATGATCAAATAGGTGGGGATGACAACCAGACTTTTGGAGGAAAAAGGTCAAACGAACCAAGATTCATTGATATTCTTAAACAAGATATTAGCTCCTCCATGACTTCCACACCCCTTGGAAGGTTTAAGGATGTATGACTTATATAGGTCCCTAAATGTGCTCTATGATATCACTACTAAGACCCATAATGGAATTCATACCCTATCCTCGTAAGAGCAGAAATTTAACAAGCACTCCACTCGAAATCCAAATTCTTGTCAGAATTGATTGATTACGATCAATAACTCGTGGAAACAAATTTTAACAGAGGCAACCAAGGCATGAGTGCTTCAACATGGAATAATTCCGAGTGATATTCCATGTGATCCTCTTGCCACATGGATTTTCATAGAAAAACTTTTCCAAGCAATCACCAGAAAGTATAATTCCCTTCATGCCAAATGCTAGTTCGCAGTTATGGTCCTGTACCATGTAGACTCGGGAGGCTTTGTGGAGATAATTTACAAAGTGGGGGTTAGGCTTGTGCAATTTTTTGCCAATGTAATGTCATTTTTTAAGTTCTTTTGTTAATTGTTTTATTTATCACGGAAGCATAGTCATTTAAGAAAAATACAGGAATACGAAATTAAAGGAAACTGATATCGGACATTATTTAGGTAAGTATCTGAGATCTGTCATTGGATAAATAGTAGTGGTAGTAGTAGTAGTTATAGTAGTAGCAGTAGTAGTAGTAGTAGTAGTAGTAGTAATGATAACAGCATAGTAGTAATAGTAATGATAACAGCAACAATAATTAAAAGAATGACAAGGAATAAGTGCAAACAAGAATCAAGAAACATCTAAATAAGTCAAAAGAATTGGAAAAATCAAACCTTACAGCCAAGAATAAAGGACAAGAAATGGAGAACAAAACATGAAGGACCCCAAGGTAAAATGAAATAGCCTCCACATGCTATTTCGCAAGAGTGGAGTTTGATTTTTGAAGAAAGAAATTTAGTTGCAGACAATTATAAATTGCAATGAGAAGAAGAACCTCAGACTATGAATGCATGTCGTCTTTATGTTATGTAAATTTGCAATGCAATTTCACCTAGTACATTTACTTATAAAGTTCACATAGGTGCATGTGAACTTTAAAGATCCAACTCACGCCGTTATTAATTTTGTGTAATTTTGTTGGTGCCATTATCATTCCTAGTTGAGTTCAACCCTCAAAACATAGATTTCTCTACAACAGTCATTACGTATGCAACTCAAAAAGCTGCTTGCCAACAAGAAACATGAAAGCAGTATAAAGGGTCAACTTGTAAGCCCAGAAGAAAGCCATATGTGTGCTCTGGCACATACCCAAAGGTAATCTTCTCCTTGGTAGCTCCCCAAGTACCGGACCACATTCGGATGATTACATTGTTGCAACATCTCAATTTCACCACAAATTTCTTCATATCCTTCTTCCTGATTCACATAAGTGCACAAGTTAGACCACATATCCATGGCATGGAAAACAATATCCGTCTGCCCTTCGCCAAACCTGAAATCTATGAATATCTGCCAGTTGAAATTTGTGGTTCAGATATCTTTGAAGATATATTATTTTTTTCTCGTGTATTTCAAGATATATGTTGAAAGGAAAGAATGTTTCCCCCAATAACCTCTTCATTTGGGAGAGAGATAAACTCCAAGCAACAAAACAAGTGTGATGGAGCAGATGATATGGTATTTATAATTTGCCAATCAATGATGATATAATATTTATAATAGCAATATATCGACCCAAGAGCAACTAGGACATTAAACACGCCATAAACGCACCCCTTCACACAAGGATATAACTTTGATGGCAACCATCTCTGATGTCTTTATGTCTCTAGCTTTGTATACAGCTCCATATGAACCCTTCCCTGGAGTATCAAAGAAAAAGTCTATTAACCGTTACAGCAAATCTGGTGCAACCTTGGGTAGGTAAGCAAGTAAAACAAGCAAGGACAATCTGCAGCCAATTTAATCATTTGCATTTGGCCAGAGCATGCAAATATTCAATTGAACAAGAAAATGGGCCACACTATCCCATTATAAGTAATCTATTTCCATGCCATAAAGCATTGAATAATATAGCCCAATACCTTAAATAGCTCATATGGTAGCATAATGAGGAAATCCCATTTTTCATGTTTTGATAATTTGAATAGAACACCATATTCCTTTCCTTCATAATTTGAGAGTTCTTGGCACATTTATTTTTTAAAATGCAGCCCACTATTCATTTCACCATCTCTTTCCATGCCATGAAGCACTGATCAACATAGCAGAATACACAAAGTATATCATATGATAGCGTTCTGAGAAAACCTTTTGTTTAGTTTTGATCATTGTTATGGAACCGTGCTGCTATCGTTCCAAGGAGTGCATTTTTTTCTTTTTCTGATAATTTTCAAGGAACCCAAGTTGCTTTTAACCACAATTTAACAAATCTCTGAAGAACCCATTTTCTTTTTCATTTTCATTTCTTCCAGTGATTCATGAATAACCCACATTTCCTTTTTTTACTGAGAGAAAGAGAGTGCATGCATACCGAGCTCATTGAGCAATTCGTACTTGTTTGTAGGATCTTCCTTTGTCACACTATCAGGAAGTGAACTAACCGATCTCCTCATTGCTTTTCTCCCCTCTTCAACATGGAAATCCCTCATCTGAGGCGTAAACTCCATGCCTGCTCCTCCCCTGATGCTCTCGACTGCCTTGCTCATCGATGTTGAGAAATTGCTCCCTGTCCTACTCAGCATAGTCCCAAATGGCGAACCTCTAAAGGTTCCCCCTCTAGAACGAACACTCGACTTAACCAGAAACGTTGAATAAGGATCCTCAACCTCTGGTTTCTTTCTCAGGCTCCCTCTACTCCTAGGATCGATGCCTGGTGGTTTTCTAGGGTATTTAGAGACAGAAGATCGATTCGATCTCACAATTACACTTCCCGAATAGTTGTGTTCTTCTTCTTCATAATCAATGGCGGCTCCAAAATCCTTAGGGAGGCGCTTTAACAGAGGAGGGAGAGATGGGTCCTCATGATCTTTTGTGATCATGGTTGCATAGATGTCTTCTTCCTCCTCCTCGTCTTTTCGAGGGTCGGGGTCTCTCTGGTCCGAGTCTCCTGTGTCGCCATGGATGACCACTGTGGAGTACATGTCCGCCTGGTTCGAGGACTTGGATTTTCGAGAAAATGGACGAGGGGAAGCCATACCGCAGAGTGTCAGTGTTCACGCTCTAGGCTTCGCCATTATGCTCTCTCTCTGTCCTCGCTCTCAAACCAAAAGAATTCAACTAAAACTGAACTCACTTACAAAACGCGCGTGACGCGCAGAAGATGCAGACAGCTGCATCTCTCTCTAGGAAGGTATCACCGGCAAACATTGAAAACTTCCATTAATGGAAATCCGAGCACATGAGGAAGGCGAAGAGAGAGAGAGGGGTTCACCCCAGCAGGAGTAAAAGTTCAAAAAATTTATGATTTGATCGTAAAAAGTTCTGAAAAGAAATGAATCCCTGTTTTGATATGGGTCGCAGTTGATTTACTTCGAGTCATGATCGTGTTTCACTGCTTTTCTCATATCTCACATTATGCTCCTTATGGAGCGTACTGTACATCTACTCCCTCAATCAGAGGATTTATTTGAAATATTTTCTTCTTTTTTCAATCTTAAAATTTTGGGAACAACCTCATAATCAATATTTCAAGAAAAGTTGAAATTTAAGCGTTGTAACACACTTAGTTTTTACCCTCTAAAAATTGGACAGTCACTATTCAAGCTCGAGTTTGTATTTTTTTTTTTTTTTTCTTTAAGTATATGAAAGATTCCATCAAGAAAAAAAATTTATTGAGGTTGATTTATGCTTTAAGAGGTTACGTTCCCAAATTTTGGGTACTAAAATTAATCATAAATGAGGTTTTATTTGAGGGAGTAAATAGAAGTATAATATCTTTTGAATCTTCACATAAAATTAACCATAGAGGAGGTTTTATTTGAGGGAATAAATGGACAATATACTCCCTTGGGAGTATACTATCTTTTGGATCTTCACATATCTTTCTCTTTGCTTCTCCATCTATTTTCTGATGGACATGGTCTCCACAATGGCCAGCTCATCTATTTAAATGAGTCATCTCTCCAAACCTTATTTTAGAGATAGATTTTGCATTCAATATTAAGGAATGAAAATCTCCATCATGATCATGATATGCATGAATATGAAAAAAATAAAAATAAAACAAAAACTAAATTTTTTATATGAATTTTGACTCAATTTTAAATTTTGTAAGATGACCATTTCTAGCATCCACCTTGTGCATCAAGGGATGCTAATGTAGAAATTTGTCGCTTGACGCATGAACTACTTTTTTTTTCTAAATAAATTCAAATGTTTTTCTCTCTCCTCATGGCACCTCGCCGTGATCACAGTAAATATATTTCCCTTGTAAATGAGTTTCATTTTGTTTTCTCTACTCACTAAAAATGTGAGGTAAAATTAGGTCATACCTCCCCTTCATGTTTGAGGCTGACAATGTATCTTTCATATGAAGTACAATGTTGTTTTTGAAGTTGTCACTTTTTGGCTTTGAAGGTAATGTTAGAAAAAGAAATTGGTAGCTTCCATTCGTCCTCGTAGAAGTGGGGAAGATGAGATTCGCAGTTTTTTCTTCCACCGTAGGTTTGTTAAGTTTCAAATTTTGAATTTTGACTTTCATCTCCTAAATAGATAATAAGTGCGATGCAGTTTTGGAAGCTCCCACTTTCGTGGCTTCCAAAATGAAGTTAGAAAATGAGGATCGACAGCTTTCATGCTTTCTCGCCACATGGAAAATCTAGGGGAGATGCGGTTTCCAAAGTTGTATCTTCCACCTTGAATATGTCATTATGGTTTTTTTCTTTAAAAAAAACTCGAAAGCTTAAATTTTGACCATCATGGTCCATAGTGACATTCTATTACTTAGCCAAAAGTAACTAGAGAGGTCTGCAATGGTAAATAGAATTGATATTCGTTCAAAGTCTATCCTTCGGACTAAGCATTTGTGCATGTGACTCAAGACGGCCAACAAAACCTAAACTAAATATCATGCAAACGAATCCATGAAGGACACGCTTTTAGATTTGGAGGCAGATCGTTAAGGGTCTGATCCTTATAAGTTTTTCCCCGTAAACAAACATAACCTACACAAGATTTCAAAAAATAAAAAAGTGCCTTCTTTTTGGAATGCATTGGCTTTATTGAATATAGCCATATGGTTTGGACAACACATATCAAAATGAACGCACTTTCGATATCTTAGGTCGATAATTCAGAAAAATGAAGAAATTGAGGAAGATGACGCTCATGAAATTAGAGGTTGGTGGGCAAAGTAGAGATGTGCAACTTGAGTTTTATGTGATCACCGTATAACAATAAAGCTGAAAGGGATATTCTAAATGATAGATGTGAGACCAACTTTGCTTTTTAGGGCAGAATGTTGGGCTGTTAAGAAATAACATTACCATATAACGAGTATATCTGAGATAACGATGTTGAGATAGATCAGTGACGAGATAGACCAGTGGCAAGACAAGAAGGAATAGAATTAGAAATGAATACATTCGGGAGAACTTAAGTGTAATTTCAATAGGCGATAAGATGAGATAAAGTAAACTTAGTTGAGCTGACCATCTGCAATGCAAACCTAGTACAACACTTGTTGAGAGCCATGAATTGGTTAAAGTGGAAGGCTAAAAAATAACAAGTAGTAGGGCTAAAAGGGCATGATTAGAAAGAGTGAGAAAATATATAGGACATATTGCCTCACTGAGGGACCCTTGATAAGGCATAATCTACTTTGTATAGTTGACTTTAAATAGTTGAGAAAAGGCTTTAATGACGATAACAACTTGGTTTGAACAACACGTGGCATTCAAGAGATTGGTATGGATATTGGTTCAAATAAAAATAATGATAGTAAAGAATCAGATGACTCTATAATAAATGTGCATACAATTACCAAGTAAGTTAATTTTGAATTCGGTGAGACAATGAGCAAGAAATCAAAGCTTATCGCTTGGATTTGGAAAAACTCCCAATGTTTGGACTCTCAATTTCATATATTTTGGTTTTTGATAAAAAACCATTGAATAAACAGGAAAAGGAACTTAAAAACTAGGGAAAATATCTCCATATCCCTTATTTTTAAGTTTCATAGCTCCGTAGACCCAAGATTTCAAAACATATTTTGAGTCATAGGAATTCTAGGTTTTCTATCTTCTAACCCCCTAGCCTATCTTTTTTCATTTTAATTCTATTTTTTAACTCAAATAAATTATAAAATGACAAACCTTTCTAAACCTATATTTTTCTCTCATCCCTAAATTTCTCTCTCTTTCCCTCCCCAAGCTCTCTCCTCTGCGTATTACCCCAACTCTCTCACTCTCTCTCCCTCCGTATTACCCCACTCTCTCTCTGCCCCATGTTTCCCAAACCCATCCCCAAACCCCTCTTCTCTTTGAGAGAAGTCGATTTGTAGAGGTTCCAAACCACAAAGATCTCCATTTGTAGATATTTCACACCATTTGCAGAGGTACTACCACTTTCGATGGAACCTCACACGACTCCAAAATTTCTCAATTTAAGGGAAAAGCCTTCCATCTTTGCCTAGTGCTTAAAATACTCATCAGTTGTCTCATTGATTGATGCTATGTGAAACCCTTACTCAGGTTTTATAGGAGGTTGGCTAGGGCTTAAAAGATTCAATGGTGAAATGTTGATTGATTAAGGTTTGAAAGTTTAGCAGTGGAGAATTAGAGGTTTGGTTGGTAAATCCAGTCAAGACCATCTGGAAATTTCATGCTTTGTAAAGCTCATTTATCAAAATGCTATAAGTTACGACATACATATGGTTTCACTCTTCTTTGCTTCATCTTGGCAAGAAGATCGAAAGCTTCGGCTAAATTCTGATTCTTACAATGCCCTTCAATAACTAAAGTATAAGCCATAGAATCTGGGGTATAACCCATCCTCACCATCCCATCCAAGAGCTTATCAGCATTTGTCACTATACCTTTTTTGCATACCCCACGAATAAGCATGTTATATGTTATAGCACTGGGCTGAATACACGAGGTCATCATCTTATCTTTTACACTGAAAGGCTCTTCAATTTCTTATACTCTCACCAAACGATAAATCAAACTACTGTAAATATAACAGTTAGGTTTTAGTCCATTCATGAGCATTTCAATGATAACCTATTTTGCTTCTTGAGTCATTTTCTCCTTGCACAAACCTTGAACAAGAGCACCATAAGCGAACCCATCAACAATCAATCCTTTTTGGGCCATTTTCTTTTTCAGTTATAAGTGTGGTATAAGTTACGGCATTTGGGGGAGAGAGACAGGGGTTTGGGAAAACACAAGGGAGAAAGAGTGAGAGTCAAAGAGAGTGAGAGGGGGCCAAATGGAGAGGGAGAGAGAAAGAGGGCTATATAGGGTGAGAAAGAGAGAGAGAGAGCTTGAGGAGTGACAGGAAGAGAGGTAATAGAGAGAGAGAGTTGGGGTAATACATGGAATAGAAAGAGAGAAGGGGCTTGGGGAGAGTGAGAGGGAGAAGTTTGGGAATGAGAGTGAAAATATAGGTTTAGAAATATTTGTCCTTTTATAATTTGTTTGGGGTTAAAAAATAAGATCAAAGTGAAAAAAGTTAGTTTAAGGGGGGGGTTAGGAGATATAAAACTTAGGATATCTTTGGCTAAAGATATGTTTTGAAATTTTGGTTCATGGAGATATGAAACTTAAAAATAGGAGATATGAAGATATTTTCCCTAAAAATTAATACTGTGACACTAATTTCATGATTTCCAATGAATAAATGAGGGAAAACGATTAAAAATAATAGATTAAAGCTTCTATACAGGGCACCACATATAAAAGATTTGCAACTGGTTTTCCCAGCCATATGATATAAATGAGTGGTTGGGGTAGCGCCAATCCAAATATTGAAAAAGGGCTAATATTTTTTTACAGTAAAAAAAAGTTTTGTACTCAACCAATGATTTGATTAGATAGTTGAGAGCACATCTAACATTTCAATTTTATTGTTTTTTTTATACATGAGATTGAGCACAACTTTTCGCATTTATAGTTCTCGTGATGAAGCGCTAGTTCAAAATATCCATATAAAATATGACAAAAAAAAAAAAATTCCTTAAAACTCTAAGAGGTACTTGGATCATTTTATTTATTTCAAATTATTTTTTACATCTTTTCACGTAAGCCATAAGCCCCTAATGAGTCATTCACACCTTAAATATTTCATCTCTATCTGTCTCCTAAAAAAGTATTAAAATTCAAACGCTGGTTTTCATTTCTGCAGTTCGAGCCTGGCGTTATTATGAAAGTTTCTGTATAGCCTCGTGGTCTAATTTCCCCACCCTGCTGCTTAAAATCTCTCTCTCTAGACTGCCATAACAATCTCTAGACTGCCATAACAACGGCTCTCTCTCTCTCTAGAAGTGTGAGTGTGAGAGCAGGCATGGGGAAGGTAGGAGATGTGGCTTTCAAGGTTTTCTCGGCGGGGCTTGGCGTCGCCACCATTTACCTCACTGCCACCTTCTCTGTTAATGTCTACAGAGGTTATTCTTGGCACCGCGCTCAATCTGTATGCTGCTCAACTCCTCTCTCTCTCTCTCTCTCTCTCTCCCTCTGCCGCAGTGCTCATTCTGTATGCCTCTTTGCCCTCGTTTTCTCCAGGATTCTGGATTACTGTTTTCATTTCTATTTGAACGTTGAAGTTCTAGAGGCAGCAGACTCTTTGCTAAATTTATCGTGTATGGTTTTATTCTTTGAAATTGGGTAATCTCTTATTGGTGCGTGGATTTATGCCCTGAACCACATATCTGTACAATCAGATGCTTGGTCGGATAAAAGATTGATGTGAATTATAGCGTTATGATTTTGGTGTTCTTGAATTTTGTTGATAAAATTTGTAGTCATGAGGTGTGTCTCATCGATAATTTTTTTGCTGTAAGCTCCTGCTTTTTGTTTGTCACTTGTTGGAAGTATTTTATATAAGTTTCCGAACTCTGCAGATTGAAACCACTGCCATATTGCAATTACAGCCAGGTGATTTTTTGGTTGTAAAATAGATCGTGGTTTTTGTTTTTGTTTTTAGATCGTGAGTGGAAGGTAGCACAAAGACCAAGGTTTGATCTCAACTAACCCAAAATAAAATAAGTCTGTGTTACTGGGGTTGTTAAACAGCACCAAGGCCTTTTATGGACCACTAAATGCATCTACTTTTGGCTTCTCGACACATGAATGTGGGAACCACTCCAGAACACCTTTATCTATGTCCAGTTTTGAAACTTGCTTGTTTGAAAAATGCTGCAGATAGGATCCTAAATCTGTTTAACCTCAGAAAAAAAAAAAAAAAGTTTTGTTTCCAGTCACATCTAATGCTATTGCTGGTTCTAATACGCCTACTTGGTGAATCCATACTCACCCTAATTGTTTCACTAAACTTCTAGAATGGGAGAAAAATGGAGTATTAGTTAGTGTACTAAATGTTTGAACAAATTCCTTGTAGAGAAAATATAATCAGCAAAAATTATAAATATTGGGAGGGAGGTAATCATTCATTGATACTGTAGAAGCTCTCTTGTTGAAAGAGTAAATGTCAAGCTGCACTCGAGAGTATAGACAAACAAATTTATATTCATCAATGCCTGAAACTGGGAACAAAAGCAAAAAGGGGCAAAGCAATAGGCAAGAGGAGAAATTGTTTCCTCAGTTTCCTGAGGCATATGGATCCCCACTGGAGACTTGGTAATGCCACCCTCTCCTCGACTGATCCGCGATATCTCTCCTCGATTGATCCGCGATATCTTTTCTTTCTTAAATAATGTGATGCATCCATTATACTTGACCAACATAATGTGTTGATCGCATATGTGAGTACAACATGGAATAGAATGTTTACATTGGAGATGATATAATGAAAATTGCTTTATATTAACGTATCAAAATATGCTCTTTTTATTATCTTAGCTGTTGTTTCTTGGATTTTGTCACTTGAATTTGAACAATTTAAGAAGGTTATTGAGCAACTGCTTAGGCCATGAAACAAGCATATTGGAAAATGAATTCGGCTTTATACCAAGGAGGTCAACAGCTAAGGCCATTTTTCTACTTATGCAAATGATTGAAAAGTTTAGGGAGAAGGGAAAAGACCTCCACGTGGTCTTTATTGATTTAGAGAAAGCATGCCGTAAGATACCTAGAGACTTAATTTGGTAGGTGTTGGAAAAGAAAGGAGTCTCCAAAGGCTATATTGACATAGTGAGAGATATGTACAGGGGAGTCCTAACTAGTGTGAAGACAACTAGTGGAGAGACAAGTGAGTTTTCAGTGATAATAGGCCTACATTAGAAGTCAACACTGAGCCCATGTTTCTTTGTTTTGGTTATGGACGAGTTAAATAGGCACCTACAAGATGCGGTACTGTGGGGTATTTGTTTGTTGATGATGTAGTTTTGATTGATGAGACTAGAGGCGGTATCAATGTAAAGTTAGAATTTTGGAGGGATGTTCTAGAATCTAAAGGTTTTAAAATTAGCCAGACTAAGATAGAATATATAGAATGCAAGTTTAGTAATAATAGGAGTAGAAACGAAGAAGTCGTTAAGATTGATGGTTAAGAAATGCCTAAAAGAGATTATTTTTGATATCTTGGGTCGATAATCCAAGAGAATGGAGAGATTAAGGAAGATGTCACACACAAATTTAGAGATGGGTGGGCGAAGTGGAGATGTGTATCCAAAGTTTTACGATTGCCTCATATCAATGAAACTGAAGGGGAAGTTCTATAGGACAGCTGGAAGACCAACCATGTTTTGTGGGACAGAATGTTGTGCGGTCAATAAACAACATACCCATAGGATAAGTGTAACTGGGATGAAGATGTTGAGATGGATGAGTGGCAAGAAAAGAACGGATAGAATTCAGAATGAATATAGCGAGGGAATTTAGGTGCGGCTTCAATAGGCGATAAGATGATGGAAAGTAGACTTAGGTGGGTTGGCCATGTGCAGCGTAGGCCCAATACAACACCGGTTAGGAGGTGCGACTTTATTCAACTGGAAGGCTCTAAAAGAGTAAGGGGAAGGCCCAAAAGCATATGGATGGAAGTTGTGAGAAAAGATATGGTGACTTATGGTTTTATTGAGGATATGACCCTTGATAAAGCAAAATGACGAAGCAAGATTCGTGTAGCTGACCCCAAATAGTTGGGACAAGGTGCGGATGATGATGATGTGAGAATAAGTTGGTGACTGTTTGACCGATGATTTAACAATCACAAAAAATTTGAAGGGATCATATTTAGAAACTGTTATAGTGATGTATTTTGACATGAACATCATCGATAGCTCTATAAATTTTGGAAGATGTGCATTATGTTTTACATGGGCCATTGTAAGTTTCATCATTTAACAAATGAGTGCATTTTAGTGTTGGACATGCACACGTACAAACACATGCACATGCATATTCACACTCACACGCACACATGCATGTGTGGGTTTGTGTATGTATTCCAACCAGATAATACACGTTAAAATATTATATTGCAATATTCTATTGGGAGAGGAATTTGACACATATTGTGAAGAACCCAGATGTATCAGATTCTATGTGTCCATGTATTTCAAGAATCATTTCTTCAAGAAGAATGGATAATATAGCTATGTCAATGCCTTTGCCATAATTGTACCAGTATCCAACTGTGTTTGACACTGGTACGGAGCCTAAAATGAAGATTCAACGCAACATAGCTATTAAGAAATATTGATGAATAAGTGTATTTCCACTTCTTTTTTTAAATAATTATGGCAGTTTATCTTTGAGGTTCGAATAAGTGCATTTCAAAATTTTATTCTATATATAGGGGTAGCGTTTTGCGTTGTTGATGATAATGATGATATAGGGGGAGCGTTTTGCGTTGTTTACCCGTTGCTCAACAAATAAGTGGGGAAGAGAAAGGTCCTGACCTATGAATAATTCTAGAGGACCACATGTACCCTTTTCTACTCATTTATGGCAGGTTTTTTTTTGAGATGCTATTCTTGCTATGGCTGATGGCATTTTTGAGAATATACTGAACACCTTGTCTGGCCTTGCTGGAATTTTAGACTCTATGGTGTAATGTGACCACCCTACTGACCAATATAAGGGTATTACTTGACATGTTTTTATGTCTGGTCGCTGCCCACCGTCCTTCGCCCCGCGTCACGTGCACATTTGTGCTCGCGTGTGGTGTGACCCCAAGGTGCGATATGTGTGTGGATAAGGCGTGCCTTGCAGTGCGAATGGCCAACCAAATTATTCAAGGTAGACAAAATATGAGGACTAGAAGAGTTACCTCGAAACTAAAGAAAGGGGTTTTTGGATGTGCCCGGGCCATAGCCTCTTAGATCCTGGCTTTTGATGCCACGTAATGCTTATGATGCTCGCTTGGAGTGCGATTTGAATCTCATTCCCTTGCACTTTTCCTCACACTTAGGGCTGCCAATGGACAAGGCCAGGCCTGGTTTCGGGCCCTAGACGGACCTGCTTTCGAGCTCCTGGCCGGGCCACAACATAAACAACGATATGGGCACAGGTTGGGCTGGTAACGGGCTGGCTCGGAAAAGCCCGTTTTGCCCCAGACAGGTCTTGGAACCCACATCAGGCCATGGCTCGGCCCATTTAGTAGTTTTTTTTTTTTTAGTCTCCAAACTTTGTTTTTTAATTTCACTTCAAAAGAAAAGTTTTTATAATAAGAAAAACAAAAAAATCTACTCTCTCTCTCTCCTTGATGCAAGCAAAGAAGTCTTCTATCTCTCCCTCTACTGGTTTCTCGCTCTAGATTAAACTCTCTACTGGTTTCTCTCTAAATTCATGCAAGCATGAATCTCTCTATTTCATTGTGCGATAGAATCCCCTAATTACTTGCAAGATGATAGAAAGATAATTGAAATTCGTTCGATAGAATTCCCATAGATAGAAAAAAAAGGAAATCAAGATAGAGAGATAATTGAAGAAATTTGAAAACTTAAATTGAAATTTGAAAACTTAATCGTGTGATAATATCCCGCATAATCAAGATAGAGAGATAATTGAAATTTGTTCGATAGAATCCCATAATTAATTCAGATAGAGAGATAATTGAGAGATAGAGAGATAATTGAGAGATAGAGATTAAAGCTACGAGATAAGGAATACCGAAATCCCATCCTCTCTTTCCTAACTAACTTAACGATCATTCTCATTTTCTGAAACTATGCTATGCTCCCACAGGTGCAATGCTGTACGCCTACTCCAATACTGAATGCCTACTCCATCGGGCAGAAGAGTTTTTTTTTTTTAATCCGAAATTTCAGAAAGCACCAAAAGCAAGAAAATATGAATTTTAAGTATACCAAAAGCAAGAAAATATGAATTTTAAGTTTTCTGACACCTTGATCTCTGACTAAAAAAAAGTGGGAAGTGTCTCTTCAATCTTGAAGGATTATTTTTTTAAAGTGCATAAGGTGTATTCATTCTTTATTGGGCCAGGCCCAATAGGCCTAATTGGCCTTTCAACTTTTTTTCTTTTAAGAAAAGTCCCTAGAGAAATTTTAA